AATCCACAAAAAAACGTAAAATTAAAGAAAGCGCACTAATTTTACTAAATCAAAATAATTGTGTTGCCTTATGTTCATTTAATTTAAGTCATACATGGTTACCTAGCTAAAATCTGAAGTAGACCAGAGAAACATACACCCAAAGTAAATTTACACCAAAATTATTAATAAACATTACCTTTATTAATTTAAACAATGAGATTAAGCCAAAGTCACATAACTGACAATTTGCACAGACGAATAATCAGAGCGACGTTTCATATACTGTATTATCCTACTATTATTACACAATTTAATTTTTAATTTTAAGCTTGAGCCTAAGTGTGTCGCAAGATACCCTCTAGGTGATAGTTCTTGATTACTTTTTGATAAATAATTCATTCTTATTGCGAAATAGGACCACTATTTATTAACCTGTATTTAGACGTGAGGAAATTCTGTCTTTTTTAAAGATAAAAATGTTTGAGGCGAAATACCCAAAAAGGAGTTTGTAAAAAAATGAATCCTCCTCAACAATATAGAACTTATCTACAAGATTTTATTATTAAAAAAAGTCGCTTTTATACTGATTTACAATGAGAAAAGATGAGTTTTTAAAACAAATGTCGCGGTATTAAGAAGCTGGTGTTTTAAAGGATATTTTTAAAATACAAAAAAATGCAACGACACGCATGGGCGGATCCAGGGGGATCCAGATCCCCCATTCAATTCTCTATACAACGATGCCAAAGCGAATTCTGTGGCTCGAATGGTTCTTGAGAAACTTCGAAAAAAGCAGCGTCATGTTCAAGTGGATTTTGCAACTCAAAAAAAAACCACGCAAATCTAAAACTTCTTGAATTCAAGCCTTTTTTGAGACAACTGCTAACATTTCCCCATCCATGGTTCACTTTTTAAAAAGGCCATTTATTTGTCTCTAGGATGATGTACAAATGAGCGTTCTTGCTCATTTTGCCTCCGAGATATGAGCAAAAACGGGACGGAAAACATGAAATTTTGCAATAATCTTGCGCCACC